GATAGTATGACTACGGCCTTGGAAATTTTCTTGGAAATTTGTTGTACATGAGTTTGAAATTTGAGTCTATTATCAAGGTGGATTCCTAAGAATTTTCCCTCTGTGAGCTTTGTGATAGGTGATCCTTTTATCATTATGTTAAGAGGGACATCTGTAGCTCTGTTACCAAACTGAATGAAGTAGGTTTTGTCAATGTTGAGAGTAAGTTTGTTAGTCATCATCCAGGTAGATATTTTCTGTAATTCGGTATTCACAGCATTGGCTAGCATGACTGAGCTTGGGTGAGAGAAGACGTATGTAGTGTCATCTGCAAATAGTGTGGGTTTGAGTAGTTGCGATGCATTTGGGAGGTCATTTATGTAAATGAGAAAGAGAAGAGGGTCAAGGACACTTCCCTGTGGGACACTAACTGTAATTGGCTGTGCAGAAGAGTTTGCTCCATTTGTGTACACATATTGGCTTCTGTTGCTGAGGTATGACTTGAGGTAGTTGAGGGAGTGCCCTCTTATACCATAGTGCGACAATTTTATGTGGAGCAAATCATGGTCAACTGTATCAAAAGCTTTACGTAAATCAATGAAGATCCCCAGTGGGACTTCTTTTTTTTCTAGTGCAGTGTATATTTGTTCTAGCATGTGTATAACAGCATCATTCGTATTTTTATTAGGCCTGAACCCAAACTGACAGGAGTTGAGTATGTTGTGGGAGATGTGGTAGGAATAGATTCGCTTATGAATTAATTTTTCGAAGATTTTAGAGAGAGGGTGTAAGTTGGATATTAGCCTATAGTTGTTCAAGTCTGTTTGATCTCCTTCTTTATGGATCGGGGTGACCCTCGCTAATTTGAGAACTGTAGGGAAGGTAGAGGATTCGATGGATTTGTTAAAGAGTGTTGCAATGATTGGTGACAGCACTTGCGATGTTTTTTTGCATATAGAGGGTGGTAAGGTATTTAAATCTCCTGTCTTGTTTTCTAGTGTGTTGATAATAAGGGAGACTTCTGTTGGGTTAGTCGGAGCTAGGAACAGTGTGTTCGGGTAGGTGCCAGTGAGGTAATCATTGGGTGGGGTATTTGAACTTGGGATTTATACACAAATAACCCGCACATAGAAGAGAGGAGCTTACAACGACGTTTCGGTCCGACTTGGACCATTTACAAAGTCACACTAACAAGAAATAGAACAGGAAGGGGTATATATAGGCAGGAAGAGGTAGTGGTAGTGGTGATGGTGGTAGTAGTAGTAGAGGTAGTTGTGGAAAATAATGTATTTTCCAGAAAAAAATACAGTGTATTTTTTATGTAAATTAGTGTAATACATTGTATTTAATAAAATTTATGTTATAAAAAATGAGAAGCCCTGCGCCTGCACAGAAAAGACTCGCCATGTTTGAACTAGTCAACACAAACGTTCGTGAATAATCGGAAGAATTTTCGTGCTCTAGAGGTTAAATTGGGCTGACACCTCTCAAATAGGAGCCGAAATTGTTGGATGTGCATTCCTGCATAACTTGAGATATCAGACGACTGGACAAGACAGCTCCAGGAACCTCAGATAAGTCTGTTTATGTTGTAACTCTGGCCAGTGTTATTTTCATGTAGAGACAGTGAGGTTTTCAGAGTATGATACACCTTGATCTCCAGTCAAATTGGTCAGTAATATTAAGATATATTCTCCTTCTGTTATATAAATGTCTATATATATAATCATTTATTAATTTTAATATACAGTCCACAAACTTATATATTTACCAGAATTCCTGGTGATGCACATTTCATTTGTAATTATAGGTCTAGAGCAACTTGTGGATATGACAGTTGTAGGTATCGAAGGGGGACATTTTTGTGACCTAGGTGTCCCAAATTCCTACTTGTATATGTAACTTTGATAAATAATAATTATCTTTGTTACCACTTACTGGTATGTACCTTATGAGTTACATCCAGATAAATGTAATTTTCCACAGTAGTAGTAGTAGTAGTAGTAGTGGTAGTAGTAGTAGTGGTAGTTGTGGTAGTAGTAGCAGTAGTAGTAGTAGTAGTAGTAGTAGTAGTAGTAGTAGTAGCAGTGGTAGTAGTAGTAGTGGGGAATAAGGAGGACGAGCCAGTCAAATACAAAGAAAGGGGAGCACTGCAAGGGAGCTAGGTACCCACAGAGGGAGAACAAGTACATAGAGGTGGGGAAGAAGGGGAAGCGACCAAATAAATATTGAAGGAACAGAAACACGAGACAGAAGAAAGACAACCCAGAGGAGAAAAAGGGAAAGAGGAAAGGGGAAGAGGGAGAAGAAGAAAAAAGGAGGAATCAGGTTTTAAGTCACGGGTGTTCTGAAGTTTGGAACATTTTACAATGTAGTGGGAGAGGAAGGCATCTACAGAGACGAAGCCAGGACTAAGATTCAAACAAGGAAAGTTGTGTATTAGAGAGGATTCAACTAGACGGCAACTGTTAAAGTTGGAAGTAGGGTTATTTGTGTATCGTTCCAGTCACGGTATTGTGCCTTTTTTTGTTATTAACTTGGGATTTTATTGGCAAGGTTTTTTTCCTATGGTGGAGAAGAAATCATTGAGTCTGTTTGCTGTTTCAGTTGGTGGGAGTTGGGGCTCATCTGGTTTTGTTAGTTCAATTACGCTATTTTGTGATATCTTTTTTGTTCCTAGAATTTCTGATCATTTTGGGCAATTTAGGTCAATGTCCCAGGAAGTGACCCACACCAGTCGACTAACACCCAGGTACCCAGCACACATAAGGGGGATTACCAACAGACCCCTGGCAGTCTTCAAGCTGGCACTGGACAAGCACCTAAAGTCAGTTCCTGATCAGCCGGGCTGTGGCTCGTACGTTGGTTTGCGTGCAGCCAGCAGCAACAGCCTGGTTGATCAGGCGCTGATCCACCAGGAGGCCTGGTCACAGACCGGGCCGCGGGGGCGTTGACCCCCGAAACTCTCTCCAGGTAAACTCCAGGTACCCATTTTACTGATGGGTGAACATAGGCAACAGGTGTAAAGAAACATGCCCAATGTTTCTACCCTGTCTGAGAATCGAACCATTGTTAACGAGGAGCTGATCAAAATATCGACTTGGATGACAACCAATAAACTTACGCTTAACACTGGCAAAACCTACTATATTATGTTTGGTAGCAGAGCAGTTGCGCAAATTAACATTAAGATCGACAACACTCTAATTGCCAGACATAATGAGGGCAAATTCCTAGGCCTATACCTCGACAACAACCTGAATTTCAGCACCCATATCCAACACATAACCAAAAAAGTATCCAAAAGGGTTGGGATCCTCTCCAAGATACGATACTACGTGCTGCAAAATGCCCTTCTCACACTATACCGCTCACTTATTTATCCATACCTCACCTATGCTATTTGTGCTTGGGGATCAACTGCAGCAACACACCTAAAGCCAATAATAACCCAACAAAAAGCCGCAGTAAAAATAATCACTAAATCTCATCCCTGGCAACACACCCCCCACTCTTCATAGATCTAAACTGTTCAGTACATCCACACTTACTACTGTGCAATCTACATCTACAGGACCTTAAATTCCAATATTAACCTTGACCTAAAACGCTTTCTTGATAGTTGTGACAGAACCCACAGGCATAACACCAGACACAAACATCTCTATGACATTCCCCATGTCAGACTAAACCTTTACAAAAATTTAATGTATGTCAAAGGCCCTAAAATCTGGAACACCCTACCTGAAAACTCGAGAACTGCAGACACATTCATCACCTTCAAAACTACCATCAGAAAACATCTTATCTCACAGATACACCCCGTCAACTAACTACACGAATACCACCTGGTGGTTCACACACTCACTCACCCATTTGACCATAAACAGAAACATCAATCTCAATCTTAAAATAATGAATCCTAACTAGTCATAAGTTGGCCTGTGATACTCCAGTACTGAAACTATGCACTGTGCCAAAACAAAAGCATTCACATTGCTAAACTCACAAACTAGTATTTAGTCACTTAGCCATAATACCAACTTACCTCATAATTTGTAATATTTTAAATTTAAGAATTAATCTAAGTCTGCCCGAAATGCCTAGCCAAGCTAGGTGCTCTAGTGGTACACTCTGTAATTATTATTTTACTACATGTAAACCACATAATAACCAAATTCTGTAGAGTGGCCCGGTGGCTAAAGCTCCCGCTTCACACACGGAGGGCCCGGGTTCGATTCCCGGCGGGTGGAAACAATTTCGACACGTTTCCTTACACCTGTTGTCCTGTTCACCTAGCAGCAAATAGGTACCTGGGTGTTAGTCGACTGGTGTGGGTCGCATCCTGGGGGACAAGATTAAGGACCCCAATGGAAATAAGTTAGACAGTCCTCGATGATGCACTGACTTTCTTGGGTTATCCTGGGTGGCTAACCCTCCGGGGTTAAAAATCCGAACGAAATCTTATCTTATCTTCTGTAAACTCAGCATTGTAATCCTTATAGAGAATAAACCTTGAATTTGAATTTGAATTTGAACCCAGAACCTCGCCGTGTGAAGCGAAAGCTTTAGCCACCAGAGCCCTAGGTAATTTACGCTATGTATGTTAATTGTACTTATGTGTACCTGTGCCTAAATAAGCTTACTAATTATCATCAGTCATTGTCATCAATCACCATGATCAGTCATCACCATGAATAGTCATTCATCGTTTATCACCCATTAGTTTATTATTATTATTATTATTATTATTATTATTATTATTATTATTATTATTATTATTATCAAAAAGAAGCGCTAAACCACAAGGGCTCTAACCCATTAGTTTATCAATTAGAGTCTGTCTACCCGAAATCCTCAGGCGTGTTAGTGGCCTTCTTTGTACTTAACAGCAGCTTATAAAATGTAAATCACACATTGTAACCTTTGCAAAGAAATAAAAATTGTATTGTAGTCACTACAGCGGGTTAAAATATTATCTCTGAGAAGAAGAGTTTATCCCAGCAGGAGCAGCAGCAGCAGCAGCTGGTGCTGTAGGTGTTGTTTACATCTCACTGGTCATACTCTTGAGTGTGCAGCATGAATTCCCCTTTAAATTCCTCTCTTAGTGCCATTTGAGCGCAGAAATGGAACCTGACAGTGACAAGTTCTGGTACGTGCACAGCTGTGACTTAGATGTCGGCATTCAGGTGAAAATTGGCACCTTGGATGGGAAGAGGGAGAAGCCTAACTACGAGGCTCTCTTGAAAAATCCATTGCTCAAGTACTCTGGGCTCTACCAGCCCGGCTGCTCTGATCTTTATGTTTCTTGTCAGGTGTATTCTGACGACCGAGAACTCACCCTCCCTGTGCGTACCTCATACAAGCCTTTCTCCGCCCGCTGGAACTGGAATGAGTGGTTGACCTTACCACTAAGGTTTAGTGATTTGCCTCGAAATGCGGTTCTGGCACTCACCATTTATGACACCTATGGCCCTCGAAGAAATGAACCCATCGGCGGCACTACCATATCTTTTTTCGGGAAACATGGGGTATTTCGGCAGGGCATTCACGACTTGCGCGTGTGGCCAAATCGCATTGCTGACCACATTCTGACCCCAGGGAAAGGGCAAGACCATGGTAAGGATCAGATGCAACGCCTTGCAAAGCTTGCCAAGAAGCACCGTAACGGGCAAATGATGAAGGTAGATTGGCTAGACCGTCTTACTTTCCGTGAGATTGAATTAATTAATGAGCAGGAGAAGCGCTCCTCCAACTCAATGTACTTGATAGTAGAATTTCCACGAGTGGAGCACGAGGGGGTCATCTACTCTATAGTGTGGTGGGAGCGTGGCGGAGACATAGAGTATGAGCATCGCACATTTGGAAATATGGTTCGAATCCCAGATCCCGAGATTGAACTGGAGAACCTTCAGGAAGCCAAGCATCACAGATTGGCACGATCTTTACGATCTGGTGTAACTGACAGAGATTTGAAGCCAAATGCAACTATCCGGGACAACCTCCACACAATCATGGAATATCCACCTACGAAACAGCTGACTAGCGATGAACAAGACATGGTGTGGAAATATCGTTTCTACTTGAGTACTCAGAAGAAAGTATTGACAAAGTTCCTCAAATGTGTCAATTGGAAACTCTCAGGGGAAGCAAAACAAGCCATTGAGTTGCTGGGTCGCTGGGTTCCACCAGATGCAGATGATGCATTAGAGTTACTAGGTCCAGGCTTTACTCATCCTGATGTTCGTCGCTATGCTGTTGAGCGTCTGAGTATAGCATCTGACGAAGATCTTTTACTGTATCTACTGCAGCTTGTCCAGGCACTTAAATATGAGGCATTAGATAATGTTGACATGAGCCTATGTGATGTCTCACATTATTCATCAGCAAATGATACAAGTGCTGACACATGTCATACTGAAGAAAGGTCTCCTGATGATTCTATGCAGGTGAAGCTGTGTGAATCTACAGGCTCCACAGGGGGTGACCTTACACAGTCTATCTCATCATCTCTAGAAGAGAGTGAAGCAGCAACCATCCAGAGATCACCATCTTCCTCTCTCTTGGCAGAGCCAGATAGTTCAGATCCTTCAGCTACAGCTCCTGATTCTAGTGTGCTTCCAGAATTAGCAGAAATGGATGCAGAGCTGGATCTTGCATCTTTTCTAATTCACCGTGCAACAAGAAACCCAACACTGGCTAATTACCTTTACTGGTACCTGCTGGTAGAGTGTGAGGACCAGGAAGCAGGGCTCAAACATGATGCAAAGGTAACTAGAAAAAAAATTTTTGTACCTAATTTTTTTTTTTTTTTTTTTTGTATAGAAAGGAGTAAATTCACATGAGAGGGGAAAAAATTTCTTGAATAACCTTAGGTTAAATATCTAGGAAAATATTGGATAAACTTTCACCAGATAAACTTTCACAGAGAACTTTCACGGCACGCATAACGGAGATAAAACACCTCAATTATTGGGAGCGCTTGAGGTTCCTAAACCTGTATTCCCTGGAATGCAGGAGGGAGAGATACATGATTATATACACCTGGAAAATCCTAGAGGGACTAGTACCGAACTTGCACACGAAAATCACTCACTACGAAAGCAAAAGACTTGGCAGACGATGCACCATCCCCCCAATGAAAAGCAGGGGTGTCACTAGCACGTTAAGAGACCATACAATAAGTGTCAGGGGCCCAGACTGTTCAACTGCCTCCCAGCACACATAAGGGGGATTACCAACAGACCCCTGGCAGTCTTCAAGCTGGCACTGGACAAGCACCTAAAGTCAGTTCCTGATCAGCCGGGCTGTGGCTCGTACGTTGGTTTGCGTGCAGCCAGCAGCAACAGCCTGGTTGATCAGGCTCTGATCCACCAGGAGGCCTGGTCACAGACCGGGCCGCGGGGGCGTTGACCCCCGGAACTCTCTCCAGGTAAACTCCAGGTAATAGCATGGAAGGTTGTCAGGAACATCTACCTAATTTTATTAAATTGTTATTAATTTTATTCATTTGTTCTCATGTTGGTAATTTTTAAACTACAGGAGGGCTCTGCTTATACAGCAGGTTAGATTCTGGGCTACTGCTGTAAAGTGAAAATCGATGTAAAGTGAAACAGCATTTTTTTCACTTTCAAATGCTGATAACATGTTTACACTATCATATATTAAATGAGCTAGGCCTAAAAAATGCATATACAGTACACACATAACTTCCTTAAAATATTTTCATCCTTAGCTTATAGTGAGTGGTGAATATATTTATTGTAGGAAGTCAGGGGCTCTGGTGGCCTGGTGGCTAATGCTCTCACTTCACACGGCGAGGGCCTGGGTTCGATTCCCAGCCAGAGTAGAAACGTTGGGTGTGTTTCTTTCCACCTGTTGTCTATGTTCCCCATCAGTAAAATGGGTACCTGGGTGTTAGTCGACTGGTGTGGGTCGCGTCCTGGGACACTGACCTAATTTGCCCGACATGCGGAGCATAACAGTAGCATATAGTGGTACACCTACCATCCGACTTACGACCGAGTTCGGTTCCGAGAAACCGGTCGTAAGTCGAAATGGACGTAAGTCGAACTTTACTACTGAATATCAACATAACATTTTTGTAATGACTTTATTTTATTGTTTTATTTTGGTATTTCATGTTTTACTTTACTTTTTATGCTGTTAGTACTGTATTTTATACTGTAAGGTTTGGGATAAACACTGTGTACAACACAAACACTTGTTTATTTCCCAGAAATTTGGCATAAAAAACACGGTCGTAAGTCGAGTTGTCATATGTCGAGCAGGTCGTAAGTCGGATGGTAGGTGTCATTGTTGTCAGCTAGGCCTGTATACCATGTACATGTACTTATAGTAAATAAAGATATTATTATTATAAATGAAGAATGGGTATAATTATCAACTGCTGTATTAGTTATGTCATTTCCTGTATTTCCTTTAATAGGTACAGGTCCACATCCCTTTATCCAAAACCCTTGGGGCCAGTATTGTTTCAAATTTCAGAATTTTTCAAAGTTCGGAATGATTCTCAATGCCACCACGTGGTAGCATGACCCAGCACTGAGATGACTGATGTTCCACACTCGTGAAAAACCTTCGGTATTCGGAACTTTTCCAGTTTCAGAATTTTGGATAAAGGGTTGTAGACCTGTATATAGAAATAAGCCTATAGGCTTTATTATGCCCAGGAATTAAATCCAGGGGCTTCTCATTATGCCAAAAATTCCTCTTCATTGACCTAAAAGTGTATACAGTAATTCAGTATTGGTGCTTCTTTCAGTAGACTTCAGGAAAGTTTGTCTTGAGCAGAGCATTGTCCTCGTTTAGAATTTAGCCTCTCTGAAAAGTGGCAGTGTAACAGGCACACTAAGAGATAAGTCATTAAGTGTAAAAGACCCTAGACTTTGTAGCATGCTTCCCTCATATAAAAGGGAAGTTTATAACACACACGCACACACACACCTCAGCTGCCTGCAAGAGGAAACTTAATAAGTTCCTTAAGTCAGTTCTAAGTCAACAAGGCTGTGGTGTCTTTATTGGATTACGTGCTGCTAGCAACAGCAACCTGACTGATACAATCATCAACCAGGAGGCCAATCTGGGATTTGGCTGTGTAGCAATGGCCCACAGAATCTACAACAGATAACAACAGGTGTGGTAGTTCTCTTTGTTGGCAGTTTTTGTAATATACCCATTGCTTCCATGGTTTTTATTGTGTATTTAAATAGGGTAAAGATATTTAGGACAAGATATTCATGGAAAATTTGTCCTAGTACTTAGTACTCACAAGATATTAAGAAATAATTGATAGTAAAATTACTACAGTATAAACAAAGATATAACTACAGTATCATTGCACCATATTGCATGGCACTTTGAGACTAAATGAGCAGAGACAAAATAATGTCCTCAAGGCATGGCATAACTCGACATCTAATTGGGACCTGATTTCCATGGGATTCGTGAAAGTAATTAAAAGATGTCACATTGAAAATGTTATTTAAAAGATAGATATTTCTGATACCACGAAAAATTAATTTTTTCTTTCCTTCTCTAGGTTCGTGAAATGTATATGTGGGTGTTGCAGCGCTTCAAGTTGGCTCTACAGCAAGGTAGCAGAGAAGCACGAGCATCTCGATGCATGCTTACAAGACAGCACCACTTCATAGATCAACTTGTAGCGCTTGTAAAGGTAATATTTGTTACCCTTGCTATTTTTTCTGCACACCTTCATTGTGCCTGTGTTCTTGGTTTATCATTATTTTTGATGTTTTATTACCTCTGGGAGCTTCCCATCCTAGAGGACCCCAGTGGAAATAAGTCACTTTGTCAGACTTTCTGTGGTTTATCCTAGGTAATTAACGCTATGTATGATAATTGTATTTTGTGTTTTTTTTTTGTTTTTTTTCAACAAGTCGGCCATCTCCCACCGAGGCAGGGTGACCCAAAAAAGAAAGAAAATCCCCAAAAAGAAAATACTTTCATCATCATTCAACACTTTCACCACACTCGCACATTATCACTGCTTTTGCAGAGGTGCTCAGAATACAACAGCTTAGAAGCATATACGTATAAAGATGCACAACATATCCCTCCAAACTGCCAATATCCCAAACCTGTGTCTAAATAAACTTACTAGGTCTTGGCAACATGGAATATCTATCCAAGATATTTCAAATCCTTTTATAAATGCCAGTTATATTCATGGGAAAGTACTAACCCCCTAGGTGTTATACAGACCCTAGGTAATGGGAAATAATCAGGATTGATCCAAGGAAGGAAAGGATTCCTCCAATTCCTTGGATTAAACAGTCCTTCACTAGCATCAAGGAGGTCCCCGTGGAGGGAATAATGTGCTGAAGGTTCATGGAACATTTGTAAGAGAACTATACATGTTGGTCTGTTTATGCTGAAAGAGTTGATCTTTCTTGCACTTAGATCTAAGAATATATAAAAAAATGAGGATCACAATCATAAAATACTTACAAGTAAGAATGAAGAAAGAGCATATCAAGATAAAGGTACAAGGAAGTAAAAAAAATTAATGGAAAAGTATTATACAGTTGAACCCCTCTATCCGCAGATTTGGTTTCTACTGTTTCAGTTATTTGCTGTTTACCATGGCCCAAAAATAATCTTTAATTTTTCTGAATAATAACACCAAAGCACAAAAATAGTGATGGTGGCAGTTCTTTAAAGCCTAAGAGAAGCCTTGAAATACTTCCCATCAGTGAAAAAGTGTTAATTCTTTACTTATTGTGAGTAATTTATCAATTAAACTTTATCATAGGTATTCCGATTGTCCGAAACTCCTGAATATGAAGTTAATATTTCACGATTGTCCAGTTGTCTTCTGAAGTAGTGGACTTGGTCCACTGATACAGAAAACAACCAGACACTAAGAATATGGGTATTGTAACCTGTTGTACAATACTGTACAGTATGGTAATTTTATATTACTCTCAGTAATTTTATGTACCCTTTTGTGGCAGAGGAATGAGATACAAACTGCCTTGATTGATAGTGGTGACTCAGAATATTTTTTATTCCGAGTCAGAGAAGCTGTAAAGATTTACTGCCAGACTAATGTTGGAGTTAGTGGATAAGATTTGTTCAGATTTTTAACCCAGAGGATTAGCCACCCAGGATAACTTGAGAAAGTCAGTACATCGTGGAGGACTGTCTGTCTTATTTCCATTGGGGTCCTTCAATCTTGTCCTCCAGGCTGCAACCCACACCAGTCGACTAACACCCAGTTACATACTGCGACTAAGTAAACAGGGACAGCAGGTGTAGGGAAATATGCCCGTTACCTCCCGTCCAGGGATTGAACCAGGGTTGCTGAGTCTGAGTCGGAAGCAGTCCTTGGGTTACTGGAGTTGGAATTGGTAAAATGTAATTAAAGGAATTGGAGTCGAAGGTTTTATGTGCCAACTCCACAGCCTTGTTGGCAACAACCTGCCTGAGGACAATGTAGTGATAAAATTAGATTTCAAGAATGCATTCAATTTTCTGAAAAGAGATGTGGTATTAACCAGGGCTGTAGAGTTGGAGTTGGAGTCAGTAAAATGTAATTAAAGGTGTTAGGTGCCATAAATAAAGGAGTCAGAGTCGAAGGTTTTATGTGTTGACTCCACATCCCTGGATTGAACCATGGATGCTCAGTGTGTGAGGCAAGAGCATTGCCAACTGAGCCACAGGACCTGCCCCAATACTTCAGAAGACAGCTGGAAACTATCGCTGCAGACAAAATGTAGAATTACAAACTTTTGTGTGTTTTGTCTGATTAGTTTATCCAGTTTTTTTTTTTTTTTTTGTCCGAAATTACCAAAATTCATTAATGAGAGGTTTTATTGTAATTTAGTCAAAGAAAAGAACCATCAGTGGGGAAGAAATATAGCATTTTGGTTTGGTTTCTTACACTAGGCCCCCAGCAAGTGCAAAGGTTTCATCTGGAAGTGCAGGGGCTAGAGTGTTTACAAGCTAACACCTTTTGTAACTCTGTAGTTATTACCACAGACCAATTAAGATAGGAAAGTGATATGTTCCTCCCACTTTACCAGATACTTTTGGCAGTTAGACTTTTATGACATACTAGTGGGGATGCAGTTGTATTCAGAACTATCATAATAAAAATTTAATTATAGCCAACACTGCCATCTTCCAGGCTTTTGTGAATGTGTTAGATAGGAGTGATTGAAGGCAAGTGGGTTTATGATTTGATATGTTGTCGGAGTGTGAGTAAGGTAACATTTATGAAGGAGTTCAGAGAAACTGGTTAGCCAGACTTGAGTCCTGGAGTTGGAAAGTACAATACAGTACCTGCACTCTAAAGGAGACGGTGGGGATGTTGCGGTTTGGAAGAGTCATGGTGGCGTCCTTCTGGCAAGACAGTGATTGAATGAGTGACAGTGAAAGTGTTTTCCCTATCAGGTCACCCTACCATGGTGGGAGATAGCCAGTGTGTTAAAAAAAAATCTCATCCTCAAGGAGATGGCCAAGATCGTCTACCACCTGTAGTCTATTTTATTTATTCCACACATCATCCATCATCTGCTAACTTATGATGATTTGTTTGATGCAGCTATATATCCTTTTAATAAATGATTATAAAGAAAATGTTCAGCTGTACAGAATTGATATTGCTTTTATAAATTTAGTAAAAAATGTTAAGGCTTAATGTTTCTCCAATTTCTTTCAGACAGTAGCACGTGAAAGTGGTAATCGTATGCGTAAAATAGAAAAGCTGCAGACCTTGTTAGCTGATTCTGAAAATTTTAAAATTAACTTTGCTAATTTTGATCATTTAGCACTTCCCTTGGACTGTGAGGTAAGAAATGTTAAATATTTATATATAAGCTGTTAATGTAGCATAACAGTATCTTTAGAAGAACGAAAAGTATTCAACCCTTAATGTACATCCAGTGTTTTCTAGCAAAGTGCTCAAGAATGCCTTGTTGGTACTTTTTAATGCCTAGACAGGAAAATATATATGTAAGAATTCTGCATATAAACTATTGCTTTTGATAAGATGAAATGATTTTATATCATTCAGTGTATAGTACTCACTGCCAGATGTGCTACTGCCATCTTGGCAGTAACCTTGGGTGTACTGTTAATTTCTTAACCTCCAGTTCTGATTAAGACTGAAGTTCAGACATTGGCATAAATGGTGTGAGCCATTAAAGGTAGGGGATCTGGGACCATTGTCTTTACTGTTAACAGGGAAAACAATCAGACATCTGCAAACTGAGAGAAAGAACATAGAACATATAAGTGAGATCCTCAACATTTTTTACAGAAAAAACACATTGATCTGACTCATCTGAGTTTCCTAGAGATATTTATTTTCAATGCACTGGCCATCTCCCACCAAGGCAGGGTGACCTAAAAAGAAAAAACTAAAGTTTTTCTTTTTACATTTAGTAATTTATACAGGAGAAGGGGTTACTAGCCCCTTCCTCCCACTCCTATAGATATTTATTATTTTTATTAACACTGGCCGATTCCCACCAAGGCAGGGTGGCCCAAAAAAGAAAAACTTTCACCATCATTCACTCCATCACTGTCTTGCCAGAAGGGTGCTTTACACTACAGTTTTTAAACTGCAACATTAACACCACTCCTTCAGAGTGCAGGCACTGGACTTCCCATCTCCAGGACTTAAGTCCGGCCTGCCGGTTTCCCTGAATCCCTTCATAAATGTTACTTTGCCCACACTCCAACAGCACGTCAAGTATTAAAAACCATTCGTCTCCATTCACTCCTATCAAACACACTCATGCATGCCCGCTGGAAATCCAAGCCCCTTGCACACAAAACCTCCTTTACCCCCTCCCTCCAACCTTTCCTAGGCCGACCCCTACCCCGCCTTCCTTCTACTACAGACTGATACACTCTTGAAGCCATTCTGTTTCGCTCCATTCTCTCTACATGTCCGAACCACCTCAACAACCCCTCTTCAGCCCTCTGGACAATAGTTTTTTTCAATCCCGCACCTCCTCCTAACTTCCAAACTACGAATTTTCTGCATTATATTCACACCACACATTGCCCTCAGACATGACATCTCCACTGCCTCCAGCCTTCTCCTCGGTGCAACATTCATCACCCATGCTTCACACCCATACAGGAGCATTGGTAAAACTATACTCTCATACATTCCCCTCTTTGCTTCCAAGGACAAAGTTCTTTGTCTCCACAGACTCCTAAGTGCACCGCTCACCCTTTTCCCCTCATCAGTTCTATGATTCACCTCATCTTTCGTAGACCCATCCGCTGACACGTCCACTCCCAAATATCTGAATACATTCACCTCCTCCATACTCTCTCCCTCCAATCTGATATCCAATCTTTCATCACCTAATCTTTTTGTTATCCTCATAACCTTACTCTTTCCTGTACTCACTTTTAATTTTCTTCTTTTGCATACCCTACCAAATTCATCCACCAATCTCTGCAACTTCTCTTCAGAATCTCCCAAGAGCACAGTGTCATCAGCAAAGACCAACTGTGACAACTCCCACTTTGTGTGATTCTTTATCTTTTAACTCCACACCTCTTGCCAAGACCCTTGCATTTACTTCTCTTACAACCCCATCTATAAATATATTGAACAACCATGGTGACATTACACATCCTTGTCTAAGACCTACTTTTACTGGGAAATAATCTCCCTCTTTCCTACATACTCTAACTTGAGCCCCACTATCCTCGTAAAAACTCTTCACTGCTTTCAGTAACTTACCTCCTATACCATACATCTGCAACATCTACCACATTGTCCCTCTATCCACCCTGTCATACACCTTTTCCAGTATAAAATATTTAGATAGCAGAAACTGTTGATGCTTTCATGTAGGTTACATCTCTGCTGTAGGATATAAGTACATACAACAGGCATCATAAATATGCACATGCATAAATATGCCTTTAACAGACTATTTGCTGATAGTTTTGAGAAGTGCCAGGGCAATTTTTATATGTGTGAGACAGTGCTGCTTGCCAAACTGCCAAAGACATGCAGGAGTGGCTACATGATTGTGATGTATCATTCTTTAATGATTGGCTTGGTAACTCGCCAAGTAGAAATATGAAACCTTATTAAGCATAAGCTTTGTGGTATAGACATGTCCAGTGTCCCCAAACTCTTGAGTGCCATTAAGTAGGTGTGGGAGGGTATTGACTTCTTTCCTAGGAGATGTAAGAATGCATCAAGAAAAAAGTAATCCTACGACATACTTGGTGAGTATCCCATTCGTATTTCAATTTTTGTATAAAACTAATATATGATGAGCAGTCATTATCTGTGTGATGGGTTTATACACATACGTAGTAATTACATACAAAATAATTACAAATACTGTAAACAATATTTAGTGGAACCTCGGCTTACGACTTTAATCCGTTCTGTGACCTTGTTCGTATCCCGATTTGTTCGTATGCTGAGTCAATTTTCCTCATCTAAATTAATTTAAATGGCATTAATCCGTTACAGCGGAATTCCTGCTCTCAGGAGGCACAACAAAATGCTTCAGTATGATGCTAATATAAGCTCTACGGCTTATTTATATATCACAATTCATCTAATTTCACCATCACTCAAGGAATGCACAACAGGTGCATCATTGTCAGTGTTCAGCATTTCTTCAATGTCAGCTTCCTGTAAACTCCATTAGCACACAGTCAAGATGAGCAAATAGAATTGTCAATAGAATTGTCAAGATGAGTAAGAATTGTCAATTGTCATTGCATTAACTGAAACGTGGTATGATTTAAAGAGTCGGGATATGATTGCTGAGTGTAATACTAAAGGGTTTAAGTGTTCCATGTGGATAGATGTAATGGGAAGGGGGATGGAGTTGCATTATATGTTCAAGAAAATATTAATTGTTGCATGAAAACAGGTATAAAAATAGATGGAATAGTAACAGAATCTGTTTGGGTGGAGTTTGTAGAAGGTCAAGAAAAACTAATTCTAGGTGTATTATACCGACCTCCAGGCTTGGATCACAATAGAGGAACACTTCTTTGGGACGAAATTGTTAGGACTTCTAGACACAATAACATAGTGATAGTAGGGGATTTTAACTTTAATCAAATTGACTGGAATTCTTTGACCGGTAATCTGGAGTCCAGTGACTTTATGAAAACAGTTCAGGACTGTTTTCCGAAGCAGTGTGTAACAGAGCCTACCAGGGGTAATAATTTGCTTGACCTAGTCTTGTTAAATAAGGAAACACTCATAAATAATCTGGAGATCACTGAAGAGCTTGGTGCAAGTGATCACAAATCCATCACTTTTAGCATTAACTGGGAATACAAGAATAATGATAATATGGTAAAAATCCCTGATTTTCGTTCTGCCGATTATAGTGGACTTGGGGAACACCTGTCTAATCTCGATTGGGGTTATCTAGCTAATGATTTTATTGACGATGATCATACTTACGATTACGAAGGGACCTGCATTTATGATTTTTTCTTAATAATGTACACCGTGCTCAGAGAATATACATGTACATTCCCCAGATGGAAATTAGGTCTAATAATAACGATCCCAAATGGGTCAACAGGAGGCTAAAGCATCTATTAGGGGAGAAAAGGGGAATTTATTGGTGCATCAGAAGAAGGGAGGTTAACCTTACTGACCAATATGTTCAGCTTAAAAGAGAAGTAAAAAAGGGAATTAGAAAGGCTAAACGCGACTGTGAAATTAGAGTTGCTAATGAATCAAAGACCAATCTAAAGGGGTTCTTTCAAGTGTATAGGACGAAGGTGAAGGAAAAAGTAGGGCCTCTGAAAATTGGGAATGGACAGCTGACGGATAATGAACTGGAAATGTGTTCCTTATTTAATGACTATTTTTTGTCAGTTTTTACACAGGAAGACATAAATGAGATTCCAGAAATTAACAATTATTCAGTTCCTGATGAATTCAAATTAACTAATATTACTGTCACGAGGGACATGGTTATCAAACAGATAGACAAACTGAAGCAGAATAAGTCCCCCGGGCCCGACAAGATGTTTTCCAGGGTACTTAAGGAATGCAAGATGGAACTTAGTCAGCCATTAACGAGTGTATTTAATGTGTCCATCCTTACTGGTGTTGTGCCAGAGTTGGAAGATGGTTAATGTGGTTCCTATATTCAAATCAGGGGATAAGTCCATTCCTTCAGATTACTGTCCAGTAAGCCTGACATCTTTAGTGGGCAAGTTATTAGAATCAATTATAGCTGACATTATTAGAAGTCACCTTGAAGAGCATAATTTGATTAATGAATCTCGGCATGGGTTCACAAGAAGTCATTCCTGCCTGACAAATTTATTGATGTTCTTCAATAGAACATTTGAGGCAGTAGACAGTGATAAAGAATATGTTATTGTTTATTTGGCAGCTCTTGGTATAGGAGGTAAAGTTCTAGCATGGATAGAGGCATGGCTTACCAGTAGAAAGCAGAGAGTTTCCATTAATGGGGTCGAATCTGAATGGGGATTAGTCACTACTAGTGGCGTTCCACAAGGATCAGTTTTAGGCCCTCTCTTGTTCATAATTTACATTAACCCTTTCAGGGTCCCCAGGCCCTCTCCCAGACTTGTTCTCAGAGTCACCCAATTTCAAAAAAAAAAAAAAAAAAAAAATGTGAAAAGATAGAGAATCTTTTCCCTATCATAATGACACCAAAAGTATGAAATTTGATGGAAAACTTACGAAATTATGCTCTCGCGAAGTTAGCGGTCTCGGTGATGTTTACGCATCGGCGATTTTGCCCACTTTGAGCCCAATTTTCAGCCAATTCCAGTGTACTAGTCGACAAAAATCATAACTATTTCGCTAGAACTCCATTTTTTCTATCGAATGAGTACAAGAAACCACCCATTTACCTATTTCAACTATCCAATACAGTGGTCAGGATTTAGCAATTTTGCCAATATCACACAAATTTCAAAAGATGCCAATTTCCAAATAGAGTCCAGAATAAACAAGAAAGACATTCCTGGCACTAAAATAACATTTCCTCTGTTCATTAGTCATGTCCCCACGCCCCTCTTACATTCTTTTGCTTTCCACTTTGAATTTTTATTCTCACAAAAAATAGAAGATTTACTGTTATGCAGACTACTGCATTAGTGTAGAAATGGTATAATTAATATCAGTGCACTTGTGAAAGAATATTAGACTCACCAGTTGACGTGTATTGGACGCTTAGCATGATTTGTTTACTTTGAACTATGGTAAAAATCGAACATTTTTGCTACTTTGAGCTCAATTTCAAGGTACTTTTCATTGTAAAACCAGTCAAAATCGTCTCAATTTCTATAATATGTCTTCCATTCTATAAAATGAGACCAGGAAAACTAGAATACAGCAATAAATACCATACAAAAATACAGTGCAAAGTCGCTGTTTTAATCCAAAAACACGGTCAAAGTTTTTTTTTTTCTCATTATGCACTGTGTGCTGCAGGATTTTTTTTATACTGTGCACACTGACCACATAGACCCATTCTTTCATATGTAGGCCTACCAGCTTTCTCTCACTAGATTTGAGGGCGCTAGAATTTAGGCGTACTAGTATGTCAAAAACCCAGGTGCGTAAGCCATACTAGTACGTCCGAAACCCTGAAAAGGGTTAATGACCTTGATGAAGGGATTACGAGTGACATGAGCAAATTTACTGATGATACAAAGATAGGCCGTATGATTCATTCTGAGGAGGATAGCAATGAACTCCAGGAGGATTTGTACAAATTAATATCTTGGTCTGAAAAATGCAGATGAAGTTCAATGTGGATAATGAAAATAACCCTCGAAGCTATAAGCTAGGTGAAGTAGAGCTTGATCATACAAAATGTGAAAAAGACTTGGGAGTCATGGTAAGCAGAAATCTAAAGCCAAGACAGCAGTGCTTAAGTGTGTGCAACAAGGCTAACAGATTACTAGAATTTATCTCAAGAAGTATAAGTAACAGAAGTCCAAAAGTTATTTTACAGCTCTGTACATCACTAGTGAGGTCTCATTTAGATTATGCCTCTCAGTTTTGGTCTCCTTACTGCAGGATGGATATGTAGATGAATGGTTCAGAGAACTGACATGTTGATAAATTAGACACATTTGCAACTCTTGGGTATCTTTATTGAGGAAACGTTTCACCACACAGTGGCTTCATCAGTCCATGCAAAGGAGAATGGTGAAGAACAGGAGGAATTTGAGGTAATCAGTCCCTCAGCCTTGAGTCGATGTGGTCAGTCCATCAATCTTGAAAAGAATACAGCATATCTCCAAAGAAGTGGCTTATATACCGTAGGCAGGAGAGGTGCAGCAGTCGTAAGTGGTATTACATTTAACCAATGTAGAAGTAGGTCGTCGTGCCCAAGGGTTAGGCAAGCGAAGAATTCCCAAGTACATATTAAGATCCCGAGAACTTAGTGTCAGACAGGATTGTAGATGAATGCTTCAGAGAACCGACATGTTAATAAATTAAGACACATGTGCAACTCTTGGGTATGGACTGATGAAGCCACTGTGTGACGAAACGTTTCACGTGTCTAATTTATCAACATGTTGGTTCTCTGAACCATTCATCTACAATCTTGTCCTGACTGTTCATATCCTGAAAAATTCGCATGGTGGGGCATTCATAAGCCGAGGTTCCACTGTACGTACTGTATATACAATGGTCAATTTAAAAACTTAACGTTGAATTTTTCTAGTTTGTGATTCTTTTCTTAGACAATAAATTTGATTTCTTTTTCTTCAGGTAATAGTTACTGGAATTGTGCCAGAACGAGCTACACTTTTCAAATCCGCATTGGAGCCATTTCGTCTTACTTTCAATACAGTATCAGGAGGGGAATACATTGCTATTTTCAAGCATGGTGATGACTTACGTCAAGATCAACTTATTATTCAGGTGAGAAAATTGTAATTCTGCTAATTATACAACTATTACAACAGTATATACAATAAAGCCTTTATATTAGCAGGAGCTATTTTCCTGAAAACTCTGCTACTGTTGAGAAATATGTGGAAGTGTGTGTGTGAGCGTGTTAGATGGGAGTGAATGGAGATGAATGGTTTTTGGGGCCTGATGAGCTGTTGGAGTTTGAGCAGGGTAATATTTGTGAAGGGATTTGGGAAGATTCTGAAGAGAAGTTGCAGAGATTGGTGGATGAATTTGGTAGGGTGTGCAAAAGAAGAAAATTAAAGGTGAATACAGGAAAGAGTAAGGTTATGAGGATAACAAAAAGATTAGGTGATGAAAGATTGAATATCAGATTGGAGAGAGAGAGAGTATGGAGGAGGTGAATGTATTCAGATATTTGGGAGTGGACGTGTCAGCGGATGGGTCTATGAAAGATGAGATGAATCATAGAATTGATGAGGGGAAAAGAGTGAGTGGTGCACTTAGGAGTCTGTGGAGACAAAGAACTTTGTCCTTGGAGGCAAAGAGGGGAATGTATGAGAGTATAGTTTTACCAACGCTCTTATATGGGTGTGAAGCATGGGTGATGAATGTTGCAGCGAGGAGAAGGCTGGAGGCAGTGGAGATGTCATGTCTGAGGGCAATGTGTGGTGTGAATATAATGCAGAGAATTCGTAGTTTGGAAGTTAGGAGGAGGTGCAGGATTACCAAAACTGTTGTCCAGAGGGCTGAGGAAGGGTTGTTGAGGTGGTTCGGACATGTAGAGAGAATGGAGCGAAACAGAATGACTTCAAGAGTGTATCAGTCTGTAGTGGAAGGAAGGCGGGGTAGGGGTCGGCCTAGGAAAGGTTGAAGAGAGGGGGTAAAGGAGGTTTGTGTGCGAGGGGCTTGGACTTCCAGCAGGCATGTGTGAGCGTGTTTGATAGGAGTGAATGGAGACAAATGGTTTTTAATACTTGACGTGCTGTTGGAGTGTGAGCAAAGTAACATTTATGAAGGGGTTCAGGGAAACCGGCAGGCCGGACTTGAGTCCTGGAGATGGGAAGTACAGTGCCTGCACTCTGAAGGAGGGGTGTTAATGTTGCAGTTTAAAAACTGTAGTGTAAAGCACCCTTCTGGCAAGACAGTGATGGAGTGAATGATGGTGAAAGTTTTTCTTTTTCGGGCCACCCTGCCTTGGTGGGAATCGGCCAGTGTGATAATAAAAAATAATATTTGGGAAACTGGTTAGCAATAGGAAGCAGCAGTCATTGAAAAAACAGTTTTATGAGTTGAAAAAGTGTAGTAAATTTTCAAATGGTAGTATAGTGTATGTGTAACCAAGGAAGAAAAAAAAAACTTTAAATGGGAGAAAAGGCATCCACATTAATTTTTACAAGTTAATCCTTTAACAGGATTTTTGATAATCTGATACAAGATGATTGAATTTCCTATGTAAGTGCTTTTGTCTCTTTAATTAAGGGATGGATGCCCCTAGAGTGAAGACGCCACAGGATTTAGATGGCTGTTTAGACTTGTATGATGCTAGATATAACATTCCACAATAAATAATAGATTTTCTTGCACTCTTAGCTTATTTCTATTTCAGATAATAACACTGATGGATAGACTTTTGCGACGAGAAAACTTGGACCTAAGACTTACCCCATACAAAGTTTTAGCTACAAGCAGTAAGCACGGTTTTGTCCAGTTCATTGAGTCCTATGCTGTTGCAGATGTAAGTACAGTATTTTTATTAAATATATTTATATTCCTTTTAAACTGGGTATCTTGATGCTGGTGAAGGGCTCTTGATCCAAAGAATTTGAGATACCCTTCCCTTCCTTGGATCAAACCTAATTGCCTCTCATTCCCCAGGTGCTGTGTGACCCTTGTGTGTTTAGTTCTTCCCCATGATCATAAAAATTATGATAATATATTTTTATTGTGACAACTTTAATTTTTCCTAGGTAGTAGGTTGGTAGACAGCAACTGCCCAGGGAGGTACTACCGTCCTGCCAAGTGAGTGTAAAACGAAAGCCTGTAATTGTTTTACATGATGGTAGGATTGCTGGTGTCCTTTTTTCTGTCTCATGAACATGCAAGATTTCAGGTACGTCTTGCTACTTCTACTCACACTTAGGTCACACTACACATACATGTACAAGCACATATATACACACCCCTCTGGGTTTTCTTCTATTTTCTTTCTAGTTCTTATTCTTGTTTATTTCCTCTTATCTCCATGGGGAAGTGGAACAGAATTCTTCCTCCGTAAGCCATGCGTGTTGTAAGAGGCGACTAAAATGCCAGGAGCAAGGGGCTAGTAACCTCTTCTCCTGTATATATTACTAAATGTAAAAGGAGAAACTTTCGTTTTTCCTTTTGGGCCACCCCGCCTCGGTGGGATACGGCCGGTGTGTTGAAAGAAAGAACTTTAATTTTTAGTACATTTCTTTAATTTTTTTTTTTTTTTTTTTCAACAAGTCAGCCGTCTCCCACCGAGGCAGGGTGACCCAAAAAAATAAAGAAAATCCCCAAAAAGAAAATACTTTCATCATCATTCAACACTTTCACCACACTCACACATTATCACTGTTTTTGCAGAGGTGCTCAGAATACAACAGTTTAGAAGCATATACGTATAAAGATACACAACATATCCCTCCAAACTGCCAATATCCCAAACCCCTCCTTTAGAGTGCAGGCATTGTACAGTGGTCCCTCGTTGTTCGTAATTAATCTGTTCCTGGAGCCGTTACTATAAACGAAATTTACGATTTACGAATCAATGTTCCCCATAAGAAATAATGTAAATACAATTAATCCGTTCCTGACACCCAGAAGTATTAAAACAAAAAAAAATTTTAACATGAAATATGCATGTAGTACATAAACAATACAATGGGAAATGATGAATGAAACATTAACACCATAACACTTACCTTTATTGGAGATTCTTCTTAGTGTATGGGAGACTGGAGGAGGAGAGAGAGTGGATTGTTTATAGTTTGGAAGGGGAAATCCCCTTCCACAACACCTCAGGTACCATTGCTTTTCTGGGGTTGCTTCTCTTCTCTGTTTCTTATGCCATAGGACCACCTTGAGAGTCACTGGAGTCCTGTCTCACAAAATAAAATGTGGAGAGAGCTCTGTTTTCTGGCGTCTCTTTAACACTTCCTAAAATGGCCCCAAGACTTTGTCACTGTACATGTTGCCAACCTGGCTTTTCAACAACCTGGTTAGGGGTGATGTTTCTCCATAAACTTTCCCTCTTACCCCCATAGTAAAAAATCTCTTTAATTCTGAAGAAGGCACCTTCTTCCATCTCTCTTCCTCCTCCCCTGCAGCAAGATTCTGAGCTGCGATGTGTTGCTCTTCCTGCTGAAGCTTTTGCAGTCCTCAGTGGTGAGCTCTTCATTGTGGTCTTCCACCAATTCTTCCACATCCTCCAAACTCACATCCAACCCCATGGAACTCCCCCAGTGCCACAATTGATTTTTCAACAGATATAGGCTCATTAGGGTCAGTCCCAAATTCTTCAAAATCCCTCTTGTCGACACAATCTGGCCACAATTTTCTCCAGGCAGAGTTCAAAGTCCTGGTAGTCACTCCCTCCCAAGCCATACCTATTTAAAGGGGTTTTGCAGTGGAGGATGCTGAAGTGTTCTCTCCAAATTCCCTTAGGGTCAAAATGAGTGTCTGTGGTCACAGTCAAGCACCTGTTGAAAACATTGCTTTTTGTGTAGAGTTTTTTAAAGTTTGCAATAACCTGCTGGTCCATGGGTTGGAGGAGAGGAGTGGTTTTTCGGGGGCAATAACTTTACTGTGATGAACCCAAACTCCTCGAAAATTAGGTCATCCAAGTTTGGAGGATGAGCAGGTGCATTGTCCATTACTAGCAGGACTTGAGATCCAATTCTTTTCCAGGAGGGTACTCCTTCACACTAGGGGCCAAAAAAACTTCATTGAACCACTCGACGAAAATTTCCCTCGTGACCCATGCCCTTTCTATTAGATTTCCAAAAACACACAATTTACTCTTCATAAAATTGTTTTTCCTGAAACTCTGGGATTTTCAGAATGGTAACTAGTAATGGCTTCACTTTGAAATCCCCACTAGCATTAGCACAGAACATTAGCCCTCAGCCTGTCTTTCGTAGGCTTGTGTCCTGGCATTGCCTTTTCCTCTTGTGTAATGAAGGTCCTCTTTGGCATTTTCTTCCAAAAGGGCCTGTTTCGTCACAATTGAACACTTGTTCGGTTTCAGTCCTTCAGCCTCCCATGTACTCCTGGAAAATTTATGCACATATTTTCAGCCCCCTTGTGGTCCGAACTGGCAGCCTCACCATGCCTTACCACACTGTGTATGCCAGTACGGTTCTTAAATCTCTAAAACCCGCCTTTGCTGGCCTTAAATTCACTCACTTCACCACTATTTGCAGGCAATTTCTTTTCCAAATCTTCATGCAACTGCCTATCCTTTTCACAAATAAAAGAAGTATAAGAATATCTCCTGCTAATTGTTTCTCATTTATCCACACCAAAAATAACTTCTCAACCTCTTTCAGTACTGGTGATCTCATTTTTGTCAGCATAGTTACTCCCTTTGCAAAAACAGCATCCTTTATTTCATTTTTCTTGGCCACTATGGAACATAAGGTTGTGTAGGGTTTTTTTATACATCCTGGAGAGTTCGGCCACACTTGTACCACTTTCATATTGTTTAATGATGGTTTTCTTAATTCAATCGTATTTCTCACCTTTTTTTACACAGGCCCTTTGGGACTAAATTTCTTTGGAGCCAGGGTAAACATTTAGGACTTGCAAGCACTAAAATAAATGGGAAATTTAAAATTTTTTTGCTGGAGCACATGAGGGGACCTTTGTCATTTTTAAACAATGCCCGATGGCTTCCGCCCCGGGTCACCGCGGGTCGCGTCCCGGGACAACTACACCGCGAGTCCCCCCGAAACCCAAAACCTGTTTTTCAAAACCTCTTATTGGGTTTTTGTGCAAAACTCAAAAGAAGGGGAAAAACCCTTCTTTCCCCTTTTAGACCACCCGAAAAAAAAACCCTTTCCCTGCCCCCCAAAATTTTCCCCCCTCCAACGCTCGTCAGGTCCCAAAGTCCCTTTTCGTCCCTTTTCACTCTATCTACAGCTCACGCACGCTTGCTGGAAGTCCAACCCCCTCGCCCACAAAACCTCCTTTCCCCTCCTCCTCCAACCCTTTTTGAGGCAACCCCTACCCTCCCTTTCCCTTTCCCCCTATAGATTTATATGCTTTCCATGTTATTCTACTTTGATCCATTCTCTCTAATGACCAACCACCTCAACCAAACCCCTCTTCTCCCCTCTGACTAATACTCCTTTAACTCCACACCTTTTCCTAATTTCCACACTCCGAATTTTTGCATAATATTTACACCACACATTGCCCTTAGACAGGACATCTCCACTGCCTCCAAACCATTCCTCGCTGCTGCATTTCCCACCCAAAGTTCACATCCATATAAGATTTTTGGTACTAACGTACTTTTACTTCATACATTCCTTCTTTGCCTCCATAGATAAGTTTTTTGACTCCAATATACTCAACGCACCCACTCACCTTTTTTCCCTCATCAATGTGTGATTAACCTCATCCTTCTAAATCCATAAGCCGACATGTCAACTCCCAAGTATCTGAAAACATTCACTTCTTCCATACTCCTCCTCCCCAATTTGATATCCAAATTTTTTTTTATCTAAATCATTTGATACCCTCATCACTTACTCTTTTCTATGTTCACTTTCAACTTTCTCCCTTTACACACATTCCAAACTCATCCATAACCTTTGCAATTTTTCTTTAGAACTCCATAAGCACAGTAAATAATCAGCAAAAAGCAAAAAAAGTAAACTGTGCCCAATTCCCTTTTTGAATTTGATTTCCCAATAATTTAACCCCAAACCCCTCCCGAACACCCTAGCATTTACTTCTTTTACAACCCCATCTATAAATATATTAAACAACCATGGTGACATTACACATCCCTGTCTAAGACCTACTTTTACCGGAAGTAGTCTCCCTCTCTTCTACACACCCTAACCTGACCCTCACTATCCTCATAAAAACCTTTACAGCATTTAGTAACTTACCACCTATTCCATATACTGCAACATCTGCCACATTGCTCCTCTATCCACTCTATCATATGCTTTTCCCTAAATCCATAAATGCAGTAAAAACTTCCCTACCTTTATCTAAATACTGTTCGCATATATGCCTCAATGTAAACACTTGATCTACACATCCCCTACCCACTCTGAAACCTCCTTGCTCATCCGCAATCCTACATTCTGTCTTACCTCTAATTCTTTCAATTATAACCCTACCGTACACTTTTCCTGGTATACTCAGTAAACTTATTCCTCTATAATTTTTACAATCTCTTTTGTCCCCTTTCTCTTTATATAAAGGGACTATACACGCTCTCCGCCAATCCCTAGGTACCTTCCCCTCTTTCATACATTTATTAACCCTTTCAGGGTCTGTCCCGTAGATATACGGCTTCACGTTGAGTGTCCAAACCGTAGATGTACGCCAAAATTCTAGCGCCGTCAAATTTAGCGCGAAAGCGGTCATAGGCCTACATATGAGAGAACGGGTCTGCGTGGTGGGTGTGCGCCATAAACAAAAAATTTAGGCGCCCGCATAGCATTGTGGGAACGCCGGCTCAGTTACCCTTGTTCACCATGCCCTCGTCGCAAGTCAGCTCTCACTCCCGGGGAAAATTGGGGCTCTCCTCTTCCTTCTGATAGTTTG